GTTCTTTTCAATCCAGACACGTGTGTGTGTGTGGGGGGGGGGGAGGGGGGAGGAGACTGTTGGGTTTGCCTTAATTGATGTGTTTTTGTGCTTCTTGCCACCCACTGTTCAGGTTGGAAACGATAAATCCGTCCTTTACTTGTTTAACTGTTAACTTTAGTTTGATTGCAGCAGTATAAGGGTCACTCACTTGTTTGCATTTTGCTACATATGTTTTGTGTTTACCCTTGTTGAATGCCATGCTAAACCCAAAATTCTAAAGCATCAATGGACATATTGACTAATTGAGTGAAGCAAGTTAGAGCATCTCTAGCAGATCCCGTAAAATTTCGTCTTGTAAAATTGTTTTAGATGATACTGTAAAACGTTTTACAACGTTTTTATGGGATGACCTGTGTGTCAGCAGAATAGACCCAATTAAATTACTGGCAAAATAGCATAAAGCCCACTGCACACAAAATAAAGATTGCAATTGGGACCTTTGTCCCCGTCGACTCCTGCTCATGCCACATCCGCCATGTGAGGGAGCTCGCAGCTCCGCCACTCACCGCCGGCCACGGCCGCCGCCGCCCGCGCGCCAGCCACGTGACGTCCACTAGTCACCTATCGATATGCGCCGCCGCCCACGTGCCAGCCACACGACGTCCACTCACCACCGACCGATAGGCGCCGCCGCCCACGGGCTGCCCGCGAAGTGCCCACTCGCCGCCACCGCCCACGCCTTGCCCGTTGAAAGAACATGCGGTGCCCCCATGTTTGGTTTTGGTAATTGATGACAATCTCTATGGACTAATGGTTGCCTTGAGTTATATTCATAGGTGAGCCTATACCGAAATACAAAACTAAATAATGCACAAATCATGGGGAGCTTCTCTATGTTCTTTAGAACACTCCCTTGCTCATGTCATAATATGTTTTAGTCATGTGGCTCGTAGGATCACTTGATTGATTGTTTAAATTGGTATCTTTTGATTGCTTGATTCACTCCTTGGTATGTCTTTGTACCATATCATTTGTTTGCAATCTTTGGGTTCTAATATATTTTGTCTTTCTCCAACTATTTTATCATTGGATATGTGTAACTCATTGCACTCTCTTTTTGAGAAATATAAACTTTATGGAGGAATACATATTATATTGGCTTTCTAAGTTTTTCGCCCATTTTGGCAATCGATGCCAATGGGGGAGAAGTTTAGAGAGTTTAGTGGAGAAGTTTGGAGAGTTCCTTCTTCATGCTTTGGTTGTGTTCCTAAACATTGCATGGTGATGCTTCATTCCTTATATAAACTCTCTTGAAAGTGATTGTCATCAATTACCAAAACGGGGGAGATTGAAAGAACATGCGGTGCCCTATGTTTGGTTTTGGTAATTGATGACAATCTCTATGGACTAATGGTTGCCTTGAGTTATATTCATGGGATTTGTCCATAGGCATTTTTTGAAATCAAATTGTTGGTTTCAAGGATGTTGGATCGAAAGTAGGTTGAGAAGGGGGGGTGATTAGACTACTTGACCAAATAAAAATCTAACATTTTCCCAATTTGAAGTGTTGGCAGATTTTAGCAACTAGTACAAGTCAAGCAATCAACTTACACATGCAATTCTAAGAGTGTAGCAGTGGAAAGTAAAACATTGCATATGAAGGTAAGGGAAGGGTTTGGACAAGGCAAACGCAATGTAGACACGGAGATTTTTGGCGCGGTTCCGATAGGTGGTGCTACCGTATGTCCACGTTGATGGAGACTTCAACCCACAAAGGATAACGATTGCGCGAGTCCACGGAGGGCTCCACCCACAAAGGGTCCACGAAGAAGCAACCTTGTCTATCCCACCATGGCCATCGCCCATGAAGGACTTGCCTCACTTGGGTAGATCTTCACGAAGTAGGAAATGACCCACAAGTATAGGGGATCAATCATAGTCCTTTCGATAAGTAAGAGTGTCGAAGCCAACAAGGAGCAGAAGGAAATGACAAGCGGTTTTCAGCAAGGTAATGTCTGCAAGCGCTAAAATTGTAAGTAACAGATAATTTGGTAGCAAGATAGTTTTGTAACGAGCACGTAACGGTAACGGTAAATAATATGCAGTAAGATAGCCCAATCCTTTTGTGGCAAAGGACAAGCCAAAACGGTTTCTTATAATAAGCAAAGTGTTCTTGAGGGCACACAGGAGTTTCATCTAGTCACTTTCACCATGTTGGCTTTATTTGTGTTCACTACTTTGATAATTTGGTATGTGGGTGGATTGGTGCTTAGGTGTTGTTCTTACTTGAACAAACCTCCTACTTACGATTAACCCCCTCGCAAGCATCCGCAACTACGAGAAAAGTATTAAGAATAAATCTAACCATAGCATTAAACTTTTGGATCCAAATCGGCCCCTTACGGAATAACGCATAAACTAGGTTTAAGTTCCTGTCACTCTTGGAACCCATCATCTAATAACTACTCCACAATGCATTCCCTTAGGCCCAAATATAGTGAAGTGTCATGTAGTCGACGTTCACATGACACCACTAAGGGAATAACAACATACATACCATCAAAATATCGAACACATATCAAGTTCACATGATTACTTACAACATGATTTCTCCCATGACCTCAAGAAAAAAAGTAACTACTCACAAATGATAATCATGTTCATGATCAGAGGGGCATTAAATAGCATAATGGATCTGAACATATAATCTTCCACCAAATAAACCATATAGTAATCAACTACAAGATGTAATCAACACTACTAGTCACCCACAGGTACCAATCTGAGGTTCTGGTACAAAGATTGAACACAAGAGATGAACTAGGGTTTGATAAGAGATGGTGCTGGTGAAGATGTTGATGAAGATTGGCCTCCCCAAGATGAGAGGGTTGTTGGTGATGATGACGATGATGATGATTTCCCCCTCCGGGAGGGAAGTTCCCCCGGCGGAATCGCTCCACCGGAGGGCAAAAGTGCTCCTACCCAAGTTCCGCCTCCAGACGGCGGTGCTCCGTCCCGAAAGTCCTCTCCTTATTTTTTTTCCAGGTCAAAATGACTTATATACTAGAAGAGGGGCACCAGAGGTGGGCTGGGCTGAGCACAACCCACCAGGGCACGCCTGGGGGGGGGGGCTAGCGCGCCCTGGTGCCTTGTGCTCACCAGGTTGCCCCCCTCCGGTACTTATTTGCTCCAGTATTTCCTATTTATTCCATAAAAATTCCTCATGAAGTTTCAGCTCATTTGGAGTTGGCAGAATAGGTAGTCTGACGTAGCTTTTTCAGGTCCAGCTTTCCAGCTGCCGGAATTCTCCCTCTTTGCGTGAACCTTGCATATTATGAGAGAAAAGGCATTAGAATTACTCCAAAAAGCATTATTATGCATAAAAACATTATAAATAACAGTAGGTAAACATGATGCAAAATGGACGTATCAACTCCCCCAGGTTTTCGCCTAGGTATAACCTTCCAGTACCTTAGGCAATTCATATCTAGGAAGGCTAGTTCTATCACATGTTTCAGGAGTTTCAGTTTTAAGCTCATCATCAGATTCAACAACATCATGTTGTATTACTCTAGCAATTTGTTCATCAAGAAATTCACCAAGTGGCACATCATCATTATCAAGCAAGGTACTAGCATCATCATAAGCATCATTCATAGTAGAAGTAGCATCATCAATAACTTGCGACATATTAGAATTGATAGCATGTGGTGGTGTTGCAAGTTTACTCATAACAGAAGGTGAATCTAAAGCAGAACTGGATGGCAGTTCCTTACCTCCCCTCGTCTTTGAGGGAAATATCTTAGTCTTTGGATCCTTCAGATTCTTCATAGTGATAAATTGATAATAATCCCAAGTGACTCAACAAATATAGCTATGCTCCCTGGCAATGGCGCCATAAAAAAGGTCTTGATAACCCACAAGTATAGGGGATCGCAATAGTTTTCGAGGGTAGAGTATTCAACCCAAATTTATAGATTCGACACAAGGGGAGCCAAAGAATATTTGAAGGTATTAGCAGTTGAGTTGTCAATTAAACAACATCTGGAGATTAGTTATCTATAGCAAGTAATCAGTAGCACAGTAGTTTGGTAGTTTTGATAACAGTGACAGCAACAACGGTAACAATAACAGTGATAGCAGTAATTCATAGCAAGTGTAACAGTGATGATAGCAATAGTAACGTAGCAAGATCAATATAAATAAATCCATA